TCTATGTTCATCAGTGATATTGGCCTGTAGTTTTCTTTTTTTGTGGCATCTTTGTCTGGTTTTGGAATTAGGGTGATGGTGGCCTCATAGAATGAGTTTGGAAGTTTACCTTCTTCTGCAATTTTCTGGAAGAGTTTGAGTAAGATAGGTGTTAGCTCTTCCCTAAATTTTTGGTAGAATTCAGCTGTGAAGCCATCTGGTCCTGCAAAAGTCTGTTATTTAACAGAGGAGATTGGGTCCCGCAGCAGGCAGAATGATGGCACCCCTAAAGATGCCCACATCCTAATACCCCAAATCTACTATTACTATATCCCATTCCAAGGGAAATGAAACCACATGTGGAACTTAGGTTGGTAGGCAGGTGACCTTGAGATGAGGAGGTTTTCCTGCAGATGTTTCTGTGCTTTAAGTCTCTCCCACTCTGAGTGGTCAGCCCCTCACTGACCCTCTGGACACAGTGATCACAAGTGAGAATGTCAAGACCTGGCATACCGACTGGATGTATCAGGACTTCGAAGCCCCAGTTGGTGGTGTGGGAGAGGAGAGAACGGTGCTTTTTTACAGAGAGAAATTGACTTGGTGAGAGTTGCATCCGAGAGACAAAGAAAGAGGAGAAACAAGTACAGACCACCTGTTACAACAGAAAAGACAGATGCAGGGGCAGAGACAGAGGAACTCAGAGATGGAGATAAAGAGTGAAGTGAGAGATACAGACAGACGGGCAGGTAGCAGAGAGGGTGACTTCTACCCTGACCAGGAGCAGTTTAGGAGCTTGGTTTCCATTTTAACGCTACACTCTCTTCTCTACTCAAAGAACCCAAGGATACACCACGTATCTGCCCAGGACTTCATGACCGGTTGACCTGTCTCAGGCTGTTTCCCCAGGAGCCCTGTGTCCTCACGCCCCAGGTGACGCACAGATACTGTGTCCACTCTGATGTGGCTTCCTCGCAGGTGGTTGAACCACACTCTGCCCCAGGACACAAAGGTCCCTGGTGACGGAGCCAAACGCCAGCTCCTGTATGTAGTGTGTTTCATGGGTTCTCATGCTGTAGGCTCAGGCCCACGTGAAAGCTCACACCAAATGTTGTAAGATTATGGAGGTCAAAGCCCACAGAGAAATGGAATCAGAGAGAAAACAGTCAATGAAAAGCAGAGGCAGAAACACAGGTGCTGTGTGTACACACGGAAAATAAGCCAGAGGGACTGGGGGCAGTGGGAGAAACATTAAAAAAAATAAAGGTAAATAGAAAGAAAAAAGGATAGAGAGAATTAATGAGAAAGAAGGGAGGGGACAGAGAAGTGCTAAAAATCAGAGACCTGGGGAGGGGGGGTGGGCGAAAAGACAGAGAAAGACGGTAATGTGGGAATGGATAATAGAGATTCCAAAAGAGACCCAGAGAGACAGAGAAGCAGAGGAAGTCATGGAAGTGGGAATAGATGATAGGTAAATAGATAGATAGATAGATAAATAGATAAATAGATAGATAGGTAGATAGATAGGTAAAATGATGGATGAACGTATACATAGATGATAAAATGGATAGATAGCTACATACACAGAAAGCTAGATAGATGGTGGAATGATGGATGGATATATAGATAGATGATAAGATGGATAGATAGGACTGCAGATGGAGGTAGAGACAGATAATAGAACAGATAGATGGATAATGCTGAAAGATAGAGACGAGATAGAGAATGAGAGCCTCAGAAGGAAAGAAGACAGATCAAATCAACCGATCCAAGGAGAAGTAGAGATTAAAAAAAAAAATACAAGAAGGAAAATAATTAGGAGGGAGGCCATTTCAGAGACCTAGAGAGAGAAAGTAGGAGAGAGACGGGGGAGAATAAGAGTGAGAGCAAGAGAGAGTTGAGAAGAACCGCGAGTGTGAATTCTCGGTTCAGGGCTGAAGGACATGGGATTCGGGAAGAGCCTCTCTCACTAAATTGCCTCTCCTCCTTCCAGGTCTGTCCAAGAAACCCTCTCTCTCAGCCCAGCGGGGGCCCGTGGTGAGGTCAGGAGAGAACGTGACCTTGCTCTGCAGCTCCGAGCACGCCTTTGACCAGTTCCATCTGCCGAGGGAGGGGGAGAACCTTGGACGCCCCCTCGCTGAACGGCGGGGCCCCCGCGGAGCACTCCAGGCAGAGTTCCCTCTGGGTCCTGGGACCCCAGCCCACAGCGGGGCCTACAGGTGACACGGCTCCCTCACTCGCTCTCCCTACACATGGTCAGACCCCAGCGACGCCCTGCTCCTGTGTGTCACAGGTGAGGACCCTCTTGATTCAAATTAAAATTTTTTTCATGATTTTATTTATTTATTTTTGGCTGCACTGGGTCTCGTGGCTGGACAGGCTTTTCTCACGAGCAGGGGCTCCTCTCCAGCTGTGGTGCACAGGCTTCTCATTTGTGGCGGCTTCTCTTGTTGTGGAGCACGAGCTCTAGGGTGTGCGGGTTTCAGTCGTTGCCGCATGCGGGCTCGGTACGTGTCGCTCCCGGACCCTGGAGCGCAGGCTCGGTAGTTGTGGGGCATGAGCTTAGTTACTCCTCGGCATGTGGGATCTTCCTGGATCAGGGATCGAACCCCTGTCTCCTGTATTGGCAGGCAGATTCTTAACCTCTGAGCCCCCAGGGAAGCCCTGATTCTTTTTTTTTTTTTTTAATGTTTTGGTTTTCTGGCCTCGAGGCATATGAGATCTTTGGTACCAGGGATGGAGCCCACACCCCCTGCATTGGAAGGCCAAGTCTTAACCACAGGACCACCAGGGAAGGCCACCTCTCTGCATCTTGAAGCTCAGGGAGGCAGTCAAGTCCCCAGGGATTAGGGGAAGGGCTGCTAAGACTCTCAGGACCTCAGCGTTAGATGACAAAGAAGCTTCCATGAAGTAAAAGGTCAGCCTCCTTCTCTCACCTCTCTCCTGTTCCTCTTTCTAGGAAACTCTTCAAGTAGTCAGCCGCTACACACAAAGCCAAACTCCAGCAGTAGTGAGTAACTGTTCTGATCTCTGTTTGCAGAACCCTGGGAGGGAGACACTCCTGAATAGATTATGGACTCAGCTGGGCTTCCAGGTGGCTCAGCAGTTAAGGACCTGCATGCCAAGGATGGAGACTCAGGTTTGACCCCTGGGTCAGGAAGATCCCAGGAGGAGGAAACGGCAACCCACTCCAGTATTGTTCAGTTGCTAAGTTGTGTCTGACTCAGCAACCCCATGGACTGTAGGATGCCAGGCTTCCCTGTCCTTCACTATCTCCTGGAGTTTGCTCAAACTCGCTCGGGTATTCTTGCTGGAAAATCCCACGGACAGAGGAGCCTGGTGGGCTACAGCCCATGGGGTCAAAAAGAGTCAGACACGACCGAGTGACGGAGCCTGCATGTGTTGACTCAGCCACCTCTCCAGCTCTGTGCTCTTGGGCTTGTCATCCGCCCTGTCTGACCCCCAGATTCTCCCGCATCAGAAGGGGTTCGAGTCTGTGTGCAGTCCAGTTCAGTTCAGTCGCTCAGTCAGGTCTGATGCTTCACAACCCCGTGGATTGTTGTCCAGTTAGGACTCAGTGTTTTTTATTGAAACATAGCTGACTTACAGTGTTGTGCTGATCTCTGCCGTACAGTGAAGTGACTCAGTTATACACATACAGACATTTTTCCCCAGCGAGGGCTCTTAATCTCTAATTTTCTGCAGCTGAGGTCTCCTCCAAGAGAGGAGGATGAGAAAAACCTGACCACCCCCACCAGGAATAACGCCACCACTAACCTCTCCACAATGCTAAATGGAGATGAGAACTGTGAAGGCTTGAGGAAGGGAAAAGAAGGCAGCAGCTGGTGGAGGCGATGGCCCAGTTCTTTGAGAAGTTCTGTTTGCCAAGAAATGAGCACTGGGACTTCCCAGGTGGTCCAGTGGTTAAGAATCCGCCTTCCTTCAGCCATAAAAAGGAATGCATTTGAGCCAGCTCTAATAACGTGGATGAACCAAGAGCTGGTTATACAGAATGAAGTCAGTCAGAAAGAGAAAAGCAAGTTTCGTATATCAATGCTTACATATGGAATCTAGAAAGGTGATACTGATGAACCTATTGACAGGTGGGAATAGAGACGCAGACACAGAGAACAGACTTTGGACACAGCAGGGGAAGGAGAGGGTGGGGCGAATTGAGAGTGTCATTGAAGCGTATCCATCACCATATGCAAAATAGACAGCTAATGGCATGTCGCTGTGTAACGCAAGGTGCACAGCCAGGTCTCCATGACAACCCAGAGGGGAGGGATGGTGTGGGAGGTGGGAGGGAGGTTCACAAGGGAAGGGACATACGCGTGCCTACGGCTGATTCATGTTGACAAATGGCAGAAACCAACACAACATTGTAAAGCAATTATCTCTGATCAAAAATAAATTTTAAAAATAAATCAATACATTTGGATATATATACGAAAAAAGAACCCCCCTTCCAGTGAAGGGGGTGTGAGTTCGATCCCTGGTTGGGAAACTAAGATCCCACATGCCTCATAGCCAAAAAAGCAAAACATAAAACAGAAGCAATATTGTAACAAATTCAATAAAGACTTTAAAAAATGATCCACATCAAAAAAAATTTTTTTAATCTTTTAAAATAAAAAGAAATGAGCTCTTGTCTGTCAGGATGAAACCAAAAGCTCTCAGTAACACAAAAGCTACGGTAAAACAGATCTGAATTCATCCACGTCTAGGGTTCCTTCATTAACGTACTCTTTTAAGTACTGTTCCAGTTTAAGTTCTTACTCATTAAGTACTCATTTAAGTAACATACAATATGCATTGTACATTCATTTCCTATTGCTGCTTCAACAAATTTCTACAGGCTCAGGGGATAATAACATCATGGTATTTTAAAGTATTTACAGTTCTATAAATGGGAAGTCTGAAATGGGTAAAAGTGAAAATGTTAGTTGCTCAGTGGTATTTGACTCTTTGTGACCCCATGGACTGTAGCCTGCCAGGCTCCTCTGTCCATGAATATTGTAGTGGGTTGCCATGCCTTCCTCCAGGGGATCTTCCTAAACCAGGGATCAATCCCAGGTCTCCCACATGGCAGGCAGATTCTTTACCATCTGAGCCACCAGGGAAGCCCTCTAAAATGAATGGGTGACACGGGGCTAAAATCAAGATGGCAGGAGGATTGCATTCCTTCTGGTGGTTCTGGGGAAGAATCCATTTCCTTGCCTGTTCCAGCTTCTATAGGCTTCTTACATTTCCTACATCTCACAGTGGCTTCCTCCATCTTCACAGCTACAGTGGTTGGTCATGTCTACCTGACATCGTCTCACTCTGACCCTCTTTCTTTCATCACATCTCTCTCTCCAACTCTCTTATTGTCCCTCCCTCTTTCTCTTGTAAGAACTTTGTGATTACACTGGGATCGTCCAAATAATCTAGGATAATCTCCCTATTTTAAACCTTTTTTTAAAAATTGGCTGTTCCACGTTGGATCTTAGTTTCCCTGACCAAGGATCAAACCTGCGCCCCCTGCATTGGAAGCCTGGAGTCTTAGCAGCTGGTGGTGGTGGTTTAGTCACTCAGTTGTAGTCAACTCTGCAACTCCATGGACTATAGCCCGCCAGACTTCTCTGTCCATTGGATTCTGCAGGCAAGAATACTGGAGTGGGTTGCCATTTCCTATTCCACAGGGTCTTCCCCACTCAGGGATCAAACCCATGTCTCCTGCATTGGCATGCAGGTTCTTTACCACTGAGCCACCCAGGAAGCCCATCTTATAAAACACTAGAGTGCCAAACATACTTGGGTTCAAACCATCATTAGTCTACTTTGGTAAAATTACCTTTTTGACCCTCTATTTTATCCACAACAGAGCCAGATTGAACCTCTTCCCTTTGAGGCTCTCTATGAGGATGGGGTTAAATCAAAAAGGTGAAAACATTACTCCCCCCACCACCACCCTACAGAGCCCAGGTCCTGGATCAAAGAAAGTGTGGGATACACTCCCCCCGTCCATCCACCCCAAAACCTTTCCTTCACCCCAATTCCAATTGTATGTGTAGATGCAGATAGATTCTGGGAGGTGGATGCCAATGTTCTTTTTTGTTATTTTATGTCTTTATTTATTTTTGGCTGCACTGGGTCTTTATTGCTGTGTGTGGGCTTTCTCTAGTTGCAGCATGCAGGCTTCAGTAGTTCAGTAAGGGCTTAGTCACTTTGGGACATGTGGAATCTTCCTGGTCCAGGGATGGAACCCATGTCCCCTTCATCGGCAGGTATATTCTTAACCTGGACCACCTGGGAAGACCACTACTGTTCTTTTGAGTGAGTTCAGATCTTGGACTCAGAGGTGGGAAACAGCAAACCTCCCGATCAACTTTCCTCCTAATTTCTGAAAGGACTGGTTTTGTTGGTCGGGGGATGAACAACAAAGTATGTCTGGCGATAGCTGGCAGCGGGGTTGGTCTTTTCTCTCTCCCTCACCTGCAGAGCTTCAGCCTAAATATGGCTCTTGAGACCACAGTAAAGCTGCATTCTGCAGCCCTGGGCTCAAATGTCTTGCCATTTCCTGGGCATGTGACATAAGACAACTGCCGTTACTTTGATCTTTATTTTGCTTTTGTCTTCCACTGGATAATTTAATTTGTTTGACTCAAGGGTATTGTGAAGGTAGAGATAGTGCATTCATTTACCTGGCAAACAGTAAAGGAGAACTACTATGATTTGTTTCTTAATGGATTCATATCTTCCTCCAGGTAACCCCAGGCACCTGCACGCTCTGGTTGGACCCTCCGTGGCCTTCGTATTCCTTGTCAGCCTTATCTCCTTCCTTGTCCATCACTGGTGCCCTGATGCTAAGGGTAAGTCTCAGGAAGAAGAGGCCAGTGCATCTGGGCAAAGTGGGGAGGAGAGGGGACAGTGTACAGGTTTGTGCTCAAGGCAGGAGCCAGACACAGAGCTGTCTTTCTTTCCTCCCTCCCTTCCTCCCTTCCTTCTTCATTTGGCTGCGTTGAGTCTTCGTTGCAGCACTGGGGAACTTGGCTGCATCACATGGAATCTTTCGTCCTGGCACTTGGGCTCTCTAGCTTGGTGCACAGGCTTAACTGCCCCAAGGCCTGTGGGATCTTAGTTCCTGGACCAGGGATGGAACCTGCATCCCCTGCCTTGAGAGGCGGATTCTTAACCACTGGCCTCCAGGGAACTCCCAGGATAGAGCTTTCAAGAGAGAACATGAGTGCCCTTGCCCCTCCTCTCAGCTTAGAGGTCGTTGCCTACTTCTCCACTGGTCCAGGGCAGCCAGTAATATCTAGAGAAGGGATCAACATAAGGGAGAAATCAGGGGAGGGAACCAGTGGGATAGAGATAGGCAATTGTTGGAACTTCCCTGGTGGTCCAGTGGTTACAACTTCACCTTCCAATGCAGGGGTTTCAGGTTTGATCCCTGGTCAGGGACCTAAGGTCCCACATACCTCATGGTGGCCAAAAAAACAAAAACACAAAACAGAAGCAAAATCGTAACAGATTCAACGAAGACTTTAAAAATGGTTCACATCAAAAAATCTTTTTTTATATTTCTGTCTCTGTGCCAGTACCATACTGTGTTGATGACTGTGGCTTTGTAGTATAGTCTGAAGTCAGGCAGGTTGATTCCTCCAGTTCCATTCTTCTTTCTCAAGATTACTTTGGCTATTCGAGGTTTTTTGTATTTCCATACAAATTGTGAAATTATTTGTTCTAGTTCTGTGAAAAATACC